CTGATCAAATGCAGCTATTACACCAGAAAATTAATAAGAACATACACGAGGCTTACGAAAGAAACAAAAGGTCATATAATAAAAGAAGTAGAGTTGTTTCCTATAAACCCGGTCAAGAAGTATATCGAAAAAACTTCGTCCAAAGTAATTTCAAAAAGGGTATAAATTCAAAGCTATGTAAACCCTGGATAAAGTGTAGAATAAGACAAGTCCTAGGAAATTGTCTTTATCTAATTGAAACCCTAAAAGGAGACCTAATAGGAACTATACACGCACAACATCTTAAACAGTAATGTTAGTTATAATACTTATGACTATAATTAATCTTAAAATCTAAATTCTCACCAAATTCCAGGTAAAAGCTTTCAACCATATCCATTTAAAGCTGTTTGGTTTCGATAAGTTCAAAAATCCATAGTACAAATGTTTTCTCCATTCAATGCCTACAAAAAGAAACAGATTAATAATCGAACTAATAATAATAAAATCTATTATAAACTGTAGACACAATTTTCATACAAACCACACACACAATGAAATTCCATCTATTCAAATAGTCCTCATGAAGTACCTGAAAAGAAATAAAAATCTGATTAGACACTCATTAACACTAGTACACATTTGGAAAAATACTTTCCTTTCAATAAATCTGCCTGAAAACATGGATGCTTAATTCCGACCGATTCAATGTGTAGTCTGTTTGCTTACATTCCAAACATTATAACGACCTGTAATGAAAGAAATTATAAATAATGTTCGCAGAATAATTATACATACATTCTTACCATTTTTGTTATTCTAGCTAATTCCCAATACTTTTACACTCCACAGGCTGCGTGAAAAGTATTGGCTTTGTGACAACCACCTTCTGGTTGTGTATGAATACCTTAGGCCATACTTCATACTTTGTCTCATAAATCCAAGCAAAGGTATTTTGTGGGACATCACACAAAATATGTTATTTATTATATATGAATAGTTTTTCATATTCATATTTCACCCATCACTACATCCATGTGTAACCACACATGGATACCGCCAACACCAACATCGCATCCCGAAGAAGAGGATATTTTTTGTTATTGTTTCAGTCATTTGACTGCCTCATATTTTCCTCGTCATGTCTTTTAATCCTGAAAGAAAAAAGAAAACATTTATCCAAGTTGGTATTAATTATTTTGATAAACACTTACCCTTTTTTCCATCATTCATTGTGAATGAACATATACCACCAGCAGCAACCAACTAAAAACACCAAACATATCAATCACCTCCAAAGTATTCTGTGGGGTCTCTGACTTTACCTTTATGAGAAACATTTGTCGTACCCCATCTCTCGTTTTGTAATTTTTTTTTTAGAATAAAATTATTATTTTTACAATAATATTATTCACGACTCACCAATCCAATAAAAAAATGTAAACAAAAGTTACTACACCAAACTGTTCTCAATAGAACCAAAATTTGAGTGAGTACCAAAACCCAAAAAAACTTGCTATAACCTCAAACCCAAAAGTTGCCATAAAGAGCCATAATATAATGATCCACGTGATTACATCATTCACAATAATTACATAACCATTTTGATTTTGTAAAGAATATTTTAAGGCGATTAGTAATTGCATTACAATGATATCGTATTAAGGGTATTCACGAAAATATCCTACAATAATTAAAATTGATTTAAAATAATTAAAAATACAAAAATATATATACTTAGAGAAAACATATAATTTGCATATAAAAAATTCTATGACATACGATAATATAACCTAAAAATAATTTTTAAAAGAAAGAAATATGAAAAATTAAAATAAGATACCTAAAGTAAATATTAATCAATAATGCTAATTTAAAAATACATATAAATATAAAAACAGATAAATAAAAGAAATTGTATATATAATATATAATAAATAAAATAATGTAAGAAAACATAAAAATAAGTGCATGCTATTAAAAGTTAAAAAGACATGTTATATATTATAAAAATCATATTCTAATCAGAAACAATAAGAAAATTTACTATTAAACTATTGTGTTAAATATTTAAAAATACTTCAAATTTAATAAATTGGTTTAGATGAATAATAAAAAAATTTAAATTTGTAAATTTAATTAATAAAAAAAAACGAAATTAAAAATGAATATTATTTATCTGATGATTTTTTGAAACTTGTTTATATTTAATCAAAATGTATTGATTTCTAAACTAAAAATGGGTTGAAAATTAATTAGATAGCGGCTGATTTGATTGTGTTTGGGGTATTTTCAAAAATTAATGGCATGAAAATACCATGGCTGACTGAAAAATTTCATAAGGGGAGGGAAAAGCCATAGAGGTGTAACATCTAAACCTCGTTGAAGTGGAAATCTATATGGTGTTCAATTTAAACTATGGCTTAATGGTATAATATTTTGGAATACATCCGATTAATAGAATTAAATTTAACTTATCATTTATTTAACTTCGTTTGAATTCAAAAACAGGTATAAAATTTTATATTGACATTTAAAGCGGAAAGAATCCACCCATTTCCGGCGAGCTAAGCCGCAGCCTAAAACCTGCATACCAAATTCGCTTAAAACAAGTGTCACGCAGATTTTTTTTCAGGAAAATTTAAAATAAATAAATGGCCTGTTCCCGTACAGCAAAAATCTACTAGATTTTACTTTTTTCTTCGATACCGTAAAGGAAAATTCGTTATCGTAGTAAAAACTTCTTGCAGTACGGGAACAGACCAAAAACATTTATAATTTTCTTTTTTTTCTGCAAATACTGTGATCTCTCGATAAGTGAATATCCAATTCAGCGATCTCTCGATAATGTGAACTAATTAATGTCGGGATAGTTAATATTTTCGAATATTTTCTCATTTTCGATTCGACCAGCATATTTACCGCTAATTCCCTAAGTTTTTTCAATACGTTAATGCCAGTTTGAGTGTTCACATTATCAAGAGTTCACTGTAGTACTTATAGGAAAAAATACAGTCCCTACAAAGTTCCAGAGTAAAGTAACATTTCACCTTCAGGTCGACTTTTTTCTGATTGCTTTTGAATTCTGATTGCTTGTCCTGGAATATACCATGTCCACATATTGGTGTAGCAATAAAACATTTACGTATATATTTCTTTTAAATAGTGAATGTTTACACTTGTTTACATTTTATTAAAATGGATGTATACATATTTCTTTCATGAGGGGAGGGGTCTTTATATAAATATATACCAAAGTATATGTGTGTGCTTGTATATATTATATATAACTCAAATATGCGCCTATTTTCGAAAACATTACTCAGAACCTGATCCAGATCCTGAACCACCTGATTTTGATGCGGAACGTGATCTGGAACGGCTTGGCGAACGAGATCGGCTTCCTGATTTGGAGCGGGAACCGCTGCGACTGCGAGAACGACTTCCAGATTTGGAGCGTGATCGCGATCTTGAAACAGAACGTGAGCGTGAACGTGACACAGAACGAGATCCCGACCTAGATCGTGACCTGGACCGATCTGAATCGCTTCCAGAGGCAATACGTTTGCGAGCACGTTTAACACTTCCAGCACTAGCATCGGAGTCACTGCCACTAACAATGTCTGCTTTGCGTTTTCGCGGCCCAGCATTGCTGTCACTATCCGATTCACTCGTAGAGATAGTCGCTTTCGAAACAATTTTCATGCGTTGTTTAGCCGATATTTTCTCCTCCAAGGCAGCCTTCTTACTAAGTTTCTGTTTCTTCTTTTGTTTCTTTTCCTTGACACCACCACCGCCTTCTCCGTCGCTGTCACTATTATAGGCATCTTTAGCTTTACGTTTGCGTGGGGCGCTTTCTTTCTTTTTACGTGGTGCACCCTTAGATTTCTTTTTACGTTCGCCGCCACCCTCCTCGGAACGTCCAGCACCGCCTCCTTCACTACCATCGGAGTCAGTAACGATTTCATCCTTGCGCGATCTTCCGCCACCTACAAAATCCGAATTGTATTATAAATAGTGGTTTCTGTATTGCAATTATAAGGACGTTACCTTTTTTGCGTTCCTTTTCTGGTGCCACATCTAGCGTTAACATCAAATTCTTGGTCTTCTCCACATACTCTTGACGTTTGACCAACATTTGTTCGCGTGAAGCCTTTTCCAATTCCTCGCGTTTGCGACGTTCCTCTTCTTGGCGCATTTTGAAGGCCATACGTTCTTCTTCCTGTTTGCGTTTCAATGCCTTCTCCTCCTCGTCTATGCGTCGAGCACGAGCCACATGATACTGGGCCTGTGACAATAAATCCTGGCATTGATTTGCCTCAATACCAGCAACTTCAATATTGAAACGAGTTTTGTCGCCATGCACGGATAAATATTGGAAATATCTTAAAAAATAAAATACAAATATATCTATTATTAGTAAAGCACTCCTAAACGTGAATAGTCATAATTACTTTTGTGCTAATTCCAACTCATGGACAGATTGCAGTACCACTTCCAAAGTGGATTTTTCATCTTTCAAAATGTTCATTGCCAGACGTTGCAAAACAACGGCAATATTAAACAGCAACACCTTAAAATAAAATCATTAATTTATAATTTAAATTTATGTATATAAATAAAATATGATAATAATGCTTACCGTATCCTGTGGTGCTACTTTTCGAGCCTTCAAAAGCACCATTTTCGCTTCTTTTAAACGATTTGCTCGAAGATAGGCTCTGGCCAAATATTGCATTACTTCTACGTTATGATGTTTGAAGAATTTCTTCATGCAGTTCTCGTACATCTGAATGGCACTGATGTACTGCTTCTGTTCTACATAGATGTGCGCAATGTTAAGCCAAACGTCACAAAAATCGGCAGTAGCTTCTCGCACTTGAGCAAAAATATCTCGTGCCTCAATCACGCATCCCTTGTGTGCTAGGACGGCACCTATGCCATTCGTGGCCCAAATATTGCGGGGATCATTGCGTAATACCTAAAAAATGTTTTTAAATGCATCAACTATTTGTTTATAATAATAATCTTGTCATACCTGTTTGTAAATGGACAAAGCTTTTTCTTGATGCTTCCTTTCCTTATCCTTGTCCTTTGTGGGTTGATGCAATGTCTGCAATGAAAAGTTGCCCAAAGCAATAAGCGAATATGCATCTTGGGAAGTTGCAGGATTCTTGAGAATTGTTTCAAAATTCTTCTGGCCCAAAGCAAACTGCATTTTGGCCAAATGCAAATTACCCAAAAGTGATCTATTCAAAAGAAATAAAATCAGCCACGACAAACAACAATATTTGAAATTTTGAATATACCTGGCATCTGGATTATCATTATTGATATTCAAAGCATCCTTAAAGAAATCGGATGCCACGAAAATTAGGCCCTTGTCTCTTGCCATACATCCCAAACGTAAATAGCAATCAATGTAATTGGGATGCTCCTTTAATATGTCCTTATATAATTTATCGGCCACATCGAAGCTGCTCATTGCCTCATTCAAACGAGCCAAGTTATATGTCATGGTCACTGATATAGAATCGTAATATTGCGTGTCATTAGGTGCCTCGGCTTTGGCTCTTTCCAATGCTTCCAAAAGTTTTTCTTTTGCAACCTTTAGGTTGCCCAAACGGTATTGCAAAGCGGCAACGTTGTTAAGAATTTCAGCTGGAATTTCTACCCTGACTTTGTCTGTTAAAATAGAAGATGCCGTTCCATAGGCCGCCAATGAAGCTTGTAAATCATTTTGTTCCAAAATTTGAGCCAATTCAATCCAAGCTTCCACATCATCGGGAAATTGTTCGGTGACCTTTTTCAAATGTGCTTTGGCCATATCGCGTTTTGTCTGGGAACTTGATGTGGCATATAGAGAACCAAGAATTTTCATAGTTTCGTAATTGCCGGGTTGTATTTTCAAGACTTTTTCGAAACATTGGGCGGCCTACAAAGATATAAATTTATTAAATATCCCGAACAATTACGTTTAAAAACTTACATTCTCTGTATCACCCCGATAAATATACATTTGTCCCAGACCATAATGGGGAAGTACAAAATTTGCCGGTGCTATTTGTGTTGACTGATAATAATATTGGAAAGCTTGGTCGTAATCATTCTGAGCATGAAAACTTCTTGCCAGTTGATAACAACTTTCTGCCCGCATAGCTTCATTTTCCGTGTTGTGGAAGGCATGCAACGCCAAATGTTGCACTTTTTGGTAGTCCTTTTTGAAGAAGAAATGATTGGCTAAATGATTGAGAACCATGGGACTAGTTGAATCAATGGTATAAGCTTTTGACAACATTTGTACACCCATTTTGTTTGATTCCGGCTCATGTAAATTTAATTTCAAGATGGCGAGACCAATTAAAGCACCCACACAATTCGAGTCCAACTCCAAAGCACGTTGAAAAGCTAACTTGGCTTTCTCAGGGTTATTCATTTTCAGAAAACAATGACCCATACCCATGCGCACATTGGCCGGACAATTGGGATTGGTTCGCAAAGCTTTCTTGTAGAACGCCAAGGCACCACGATAGTCTTTCTTATTAAAAGCAATACACGCTTTACCCAATAGCGAGGGAATATTCGAGGGCGATTGATTTAAAACGAAATTAAATTGTGCATCGGCTTGATCCATTTTATCACCTTCCAAAAGGCAGAAATAGGCTCTACCCAACAAGTGGTTTTGGTCATACATAATGATTTTATCGGCGGCCGTATACAAGTTGGTGGCCTTCATGAAAAGTTCCCGCTTCTTATCCTTTGATTTTTCACGGTTTGCTTCATGCACATAGTGCGCGGCCAACATGTCGTAGCAACGCATTTTGTCTTTTTCCATTTCCCGGTATTCTGTATTGGCCTCATTGCGTGCCGTTTCCAGGAGACGAACAAAATCGTCGGTTTTATTTTGTTTATAATAAGCAAGCTGGAACATGAATAAAAACCCATAATTCGCTATACAATTTTTTGAGATCTAGGTTTCACTTACCGCCACATTGACCCAAGTATTAAGCTGAGAATGCTCTTGCCGCAAAATACTCAAAACTTCCTCACATTCTGGCAACTGATCGGGATGCACCTCTATAACCTAGGTGGAAAAATCCAAGTTAATTTTTAAACAAATACACTTAAACCAAAGCACACAAACCTCATCGGTATCACGAAGAGGTATTTCTATAGAAGCCGACATCCTGGTTTTTATAAAATTCTCCTTTTTTAAAAGAAAAAAAAAAACCTCCAACAAACAAACCGAAATCACCACACAACGAAACTACAAAATAAAAGCAAGGTATCTATAGATCGACTATTGACCAATGCCACTAATCGATTTTTCCGTTTGTTAAACGTCAAGTTGTGCAAATGACCTAAATTGGGACGTACTCAGTTGACGTTCTTCACAAAATGAATATATAGGATGGATTTCTCTGAAGCAACCAAACAGGTACAGCAATTTAAACTAATACGGTTTACACACGATTTACTTTTGAGTGACACTCTTGCCAAACTTTTGCTTGATTGATAGTGTGTCATCTCATGTTCGACATTCAACAGACAATTTTTTCCATTGTTATTGAACAGTAAGTAATTGATCTGCACCGCCTCATGTAGATGATTATAATCAGGGTGACGTCCATACAGGTCTGAATTCTTGTCCCTAGCGTAACACAGATTTGGCCTGTTATCGTACTGCAAGAATCTACTATTTTTTACTACGATAACACATTTTTCCTTTATGATATCGGAAAAATAGTAAAAACTCGTAGATTCTTGCAGTACAGGAACAGACAAATAACTTGTATATGGTCAACAAGGTTTCATTGTCTGTACCCCCAGTGTTCAAATTCGTTAAGATTTACGAAATTCACTCTATCTCAAATGTGACAAGCGACTTGAGGAACCTGTTCCTACTTTTTATTTTTACGCATATGGTATTGAATATGACGACAAAATTTTGGCATAGCTAAAAGGTCGTTTACATTGAATCGGATTTGGTTAACCTAGGTGGAAAAATCCAAGTTAATTTTTAAACAAATACACTTAAACCAAAGCACACAAACCTCATCGGTATCACGAAGAGGTATTTCTATAGAAGCCGACATCCTGGTTTTTATAAAATTCTCCTTTTTTAAAAGAAAAAAAAAACCTCCAACAAACAAACCGAAATCACCACACAACGAAACTACAAAATAAAAGCAAGGTATCTATAGATCGACTATTGACCAATGCCACTAATCGATTTTTCCGTTTGTTAAACGTCAAGTTGTGCAAATGACCTAAATTGGGACGTACTCAGTTGACGTTCTTCACAAAATGAATATATAGGATGGATTTCTCTGAAGCAACCAAACAGGTACAGCAATTTAAACTAATACGGTTTACACACGATTTACTTTTGAGTGACACTCTTGCCAAACTTTTGCTTGATTGATAGTGTGTCATCTCATGTTCGACATTCAACAGACAATTTTTTCCATTGTTATTGAACAGTAAGTAATTGATCTGCACCGCCTCATGTAGATGATTATAATCAGGGTGACGTCCATACAGGTCTGAATTCTTGTCCCTAGCGTAACACAGATTTGGCCTGTTATCGTACTGCAAGAATCTACTATTTTTTACTACGATAACACATTTTTCCTTTATGATATCGGAAAAATAGTAAAAACTCGTAGATTCTTGCAGTACAGGAACAGACAAATAACTTGTATATGGTCAACAAGGTTTCATTGTCTGTACCCCCAGTGTTCAAATTCGTTAAGATTTACGAAATTCACTCTATCTCAAATGTGACAAGCGACTTGAGGAACCTGTTCCTACTTTTTATTTTTACGCATATGGTATTGAATATGACGACAAAATTTTGGCATAGCTAAAAGGTCGTTTACATTGAATCGGATTTGGTTAACCCAGTGGGTTTAAATTTTCAATTCCTTTGAATATATGCCAAATAAATCCTCATAAAGTAGGTTAACCCGGCAAAAAGTTCTAATGTAAATGCCGTATAATAGACGAAATTGGCATAGTTAATAGACGAAAAAGATATTTCAGTCTGAAAATAAATTGAATTTATTGATATTTATGGTATGTTCCCGTACTGCAAGAATCTACTCGATTTTACTATTTTTTCGATATCATAAAGGAAAAAAGTGTTATCGGAGTAAAAAGTAGTAGATTCTTGCAGTACGGGAACAGACCATTAAGGGCTAAGCAGAATGCTCGCGTTGAGCCATCCGTCGCGTTACATGTTATCGAAAATACAACAACCACAAGGAAACGATAACACAAACGCATATCGTTTCCTTGTGGTTGTTGTATTTTCGATAACATATAACACGACGGGTGGCTCAACGCGAGCATTCTGCTTAGCCCTTTAGTATGTTTTGTTAACATTATTTCGACATATCAAACTGAAACTAGGGTTTAAATACAATAACAATTTTCTATCTGATGGTTGTTGTATTTGTTGTAGTTTGGAGTTACCTTGCATAATTGTACCATGATTCCTTGCGTTTTAGGGATTGTTCCCAAAATTTATTGAACACATTTCTCGCAGCGTCAAAACGAGCTATAATATACTGAAAAAAAAATTTGCTTGGTTGCACATCATTGGTAGTATATCCCAAAAATCGTATGTAAACAAAGTGTTGCATATTTAAGTCCTATGCTTGGTGTTGGATTTTTACGATGTGGCAACACTAGCATTTTTGTCGATTTGTTTTTATCGCGTATTTATTTCGTTAAAGGCAAATTTTGATTCCATTTAAAAACATTGCTTTCCAATTTAAAGCATAACCCATTTTATAAAATTCGTGCACAAAAATGTGGTTTATGACACACACTACAAGCGGTAAGTGAATATGGAGTCTCAAGGTGTCATTTGTTGGTCATATTTTTGAGCAGACTAATGAACAATGAGAACGATGCATCAAATGAATGTTGATGGCTCAGTGCCTTGCACTTATACAGAAAAAGGATGGGAATGAGTTTAACTTGAAAATGTCGGGATTTATGGATGAAAGGCGTATTTTTTTTAGAGAAAATATGAATAAAAATTTTATCATTACTTATGGTATGTCGTATTTATTGAAAAAAGCCATACAGATTTATGTTAATGATTACCTGTAATGTATGTAAGTGTGTATGTGCAAGCATACTCAGTCCCGCTTAAATTTATTTGTTCTTGCATAAAGAACCTGTTTACCGTCGTCCATACTATGCTGGACTGGTAAATTTCAAATTTAATATGAATGTGGAAATTGGTGCTGAATTATATTTGGGCTTAACTCTAGTTTAGTAAAAACGATCAGATTTTTCCAGAGGTAGGTATTTTTACCCTAATTATGGGGATATCTTTTTTTCTTGGGGGACGTACCCGGTTACCCGGTTATTTGACCCGGAAGTTCAGGTACGGGTACCCGGTTATATCCGGTTCTACGGGTAATATAATATGGGTATCATTTTAAAGGTTATAAAAATACCTTTCCATTGAGTGGTAATATGATGGGGTTATCTCAAACCATTTTGGAGATATAGTCAAAAAAACTGGGTTTTGGTCCCCGATTTTTTTGAAAAACTCCCTAAAAGTCGAACTTGGGCCCATTATAGTACCTGTCTAACCCAAACTCAAATGATAGACCACAATTTGCCCTTTCCAAAATGGTGCGATATGTGGCTGTATCTGTTGTGGATCAAAAGATATGGGCCTTAGAACCCTACAAAAACAAGAAAATTCTGTCGCGTAGCCGGTGTTGGTATCTGTCCATAGGAGAAAGTCTTAAATCCACGGCCGAAGGCCGGCTACACAAAAAATATTTTATTTAGAAGGATTTTCTGCCGCGTTAGCCGGTGTTGGCATCTGTCCATAGGAGAAAGTCTTAAATCCCCGGCCGAAGGCCGGTCACCCAAAAAAATATTCCATTTAACAAGAGATTCTGTCGCGTAGCCGGTGTTGGTAGCTGTCCATAGGAGAAAGTCTTAAATCCCCGGCCGAAGGCCGGCTACACAAGAAAATATTCTATTTAGAAGGATTTTCTGCCGCGTTAGCCGGTGTTGGCATCTGTCCATAGGAGAAAGTCTTAAATCCCCGGCCGAAGGCCGGTCACCCAAAAAAGTATTCCATTTAACAAGAGATTCTGTCGCGTAGCCGGTGTTGGTATCTGTCCGTAGGAGAAAGTCTTAAATACCCGGCCGAAGGCCGGCTACACAAAAAAATATTCTATTTAGAAGGAGTTTCTGCCGCGTTAGCCGGTGTTGGCATCTGTCCATAGGAGAAAGTCTTAAATCCCCGGCCGAAGGCCGGTCACCCAAAAAACACCATGCTATTTAAAAGGAGATTCTGTCATGTAGAAAGATTTTCCTTGTTTTATAGGGTTCTAAGGCCCATATCTTTTGATCCACAACAGATACAGCCACATATCGCACCATTTTGGAAAGGGCAAATTGTGGTCTATCATTTGGGTCCTGTTTGGAGAGGGACTATAATGGACCCAAGTTCGACTTTCAGGGAGTTTTTCAAAAAAATCGGGGACCAAAACCCAGTTTTTTGACTATATCCCCAAAATGGTTTGAGATAACCCCATCATATTACCACTCAATGGAAAGGTATTTTTATAACCTTTAAAATGATACCCATATTATATTAACCGGATATAACCGGGTACCCGTACCCGAACTTCCGGGTCAAATAACCGGGTAACCGGGTACGTCCCCCAAGAAAAAAATATATCCCCATAATTAGGGTAAAAATACCTACCTCTGGAAAAAATTTCAGAAAAATTTGATCGTTTTTACTAAACTAGAGTTGTTCCGAAAAAATAAGCGCTCCCAAGTCCCTGATTACAACGATAAACTTTTTTCTTGCGGAAAATTCATATTTCCAGATATGTCGGATTCCAAAGTTTCGCTGGGAACATTGTTTTTTCCATTCATTTGTAAATATAAAAACCAATCTGAAGCGTTTGAAATCCTGTTTTTTATGTTCTCGAATCCTGCTGTTCTCACAAGTCTACTTTTTTTATTAAATTTATCAACACCTCAAAATATTCACCTTATACCCTATAGGGTCTCCATTGACCAGAAAAATATTCTATGTCGTATTATGCAAGTCCGTCTGTAGAAATCTAGATAGACCTTGCAATATTTAAGATAGAGTTTCGAATTTTGTTTAATAAATTGCTATTTCTCCTAGGCTGTTTGGTATTGTAAATAGGATGGTACCCCCAAATACCCATAC